CCATCATCCTATGAGTTGATGTAAGAAATATTTCAGGTTAATTAAAGATGAAAACTGATGTAAAAGAGAATAGCAACGAGAAGTATCAATCTTTTGACCTCTGAGTTATGAATTCAGTGCGCTTCCATTGTGTCACATTGCAATATCGAAGATATGAGTAAAGTTAATATAATATCTATCACTCAATTTAAGAGGTAAAACAAGATTTTGATACAAATACTATCTACCATAGAAAATCTATCATATTTAATTCAATTAATAGTCAGTCTGACAAACCATAAATTGGCGAAATTTGATGTGATTAATTTCGATTTATTTCTCAGATTATACCATTATATAATATATTTTTAAAGCCAAATAACTGACATTATTTTGAATACTAGTCGTCGTATTATTTGGTAAAATTACACTTGTTATGTAAGTGACAGCTTATCAGTCACTTTTTCGTTACAACAAATATTGTCCTTGATCTTAAAGTAGAAAGAAAAAAAAAGAACGGCGTACTTCATATGGCTGTTACGAGATATCATCCTTTGATATTTCTATTTAAATGTTTTTCATTCTCAATGAAAACAACAAGAACGAATAAAAGTTTTTTTTATTTCGGTCGCTCTTATATAACACAATTACAACACTTTTATATTCACTGTGATATTTTTTACTCTAAGGTACTTAATGGAAGGTAATAATATGACTTTATAAAATTTGATTTATGTAGTGATGAATTTAAAAGATAATATGAGTACATGTGAAGTTTGCGTATTTAAATATAGACCTTACCTTTTCTTTTCAGAAATTTGAATAATCAAACTTTATCTATGGACATCGAGAATGGTTCGGTATTGAAAAAATCAGCAAATAACGACGATGGACATAATCATGGTTCAGTCATTAGTTTTCATTCAATCTATTATACTTTAAATTCTCAAAAATGCTGTAATTGTATACCGGTAGCATGTTTAAAGAAAAAACACCAAGAAATTCTCACCGATATATCAGGAATTTTTAAACCTGGCATGAATGCAATTCTTGGACCAACAGGTAGTGGTAAATCGTCTCTCTTAGATATTCTAGCTGATCGAAAAGATCGACATGGTCTTACAGGACAAGTTCTCATGGATGGACAACCGCAAACATTAGATTTTAAGTATCGAGTTGGTTACGTTGTTCAAGATGATATTATAAGTAGTAATTTAACTGTTCGAGAAAATTTAATCTTCTCAGCTAATACACGATTGCCTCGTAATGTTAAGTCAAATGACAAGATAGCCATTGTTGATGAAGTTATTGAACAATTAGGTTTAAAAAAATGTGCTGATCAGAAAGTTGGCAATGAAATGAAACGAGGTATTTCTGGTGGCGAACGAAGACGAACGAATATTGGCATGGAATTGGTTCTTTCACCTAAGGTTCTCTTCTTGGATGAACCAACAACAGGTAAATAATATACAATATCAATATTTTCAGACTGATCTGTCCAAACAAAACACGCACTTGATGTCTTTTTTAGGTTTAGATTCATCAACGGCTCGAAATGTTATGAAATATTTACATCAGTTATCAAGAAAAGGGCGTAAGACGTTATTATAGATCATATTTTTTATTTATTTTCTTATTTTGTTTTTTAAAAGGTACAATAATCTTTTCAATTCATCAACCACGATATTCGATTTTTAAACTATTCGATACTCTCTTTTTAGTAGGTGCAGGTCGCTGTATATATCATGGTCCATCTGCTGATGTTCTTCCATTCTTTGCTTCAATTGGCTTTCAATGTGAAGAACATGAAAATCCGGCTGATTTTCTTCTTGATGTATGTCAAGGTGATTATCAACCAACTCTTTCCTCATCGAACATACTTGAAGGAATCGATTCAGATCAGCAAAATACACAGATAGTTAATTATTTGCATAATGCTTATACAAAATCAACATTATACGCTGCAATCAAACAACAGATAAATGAGCTATGTCCTTCACCACGAAACTCACCGACACTAACTGATACTACACCAAAATCACCAAAAAAATCTCGTCTATCAGAAATATTCTATGTATCACAAAGAACACTACGTAATACATTTCGAAATCCAGCACTTGTAGGTATGCAAACAGGTGTATCGATTTTCTTGGGTATACTTATCGGTTTGATTTATATTCAAATGGATCATTCACTAAATATTGGTGTTAAAAATCGTCTCGGTGCCATCTTTTTTATGGTTACAAATCAAGTTTTCGGTAGTCTTTCAGCGCTTGATCTATTTATTAAAGAACGTCCTTTATTTAAACATGAAAATGTCAGTGGATATTATCATGTCTCCACTTATTTCATAGCTAAACTTATTTGTGATATTATTCCATTACGAACTATTCCGGCGATTTTATTTTCAGCAATTGCTTATTTTATGATAGGTTTTCAACGGACAGTTGCAAAATTCTTTATCTTCTTCTTTGGCATCTATATTACTTCTCTTAGTGCTTCGTCTTTATGTTTTGTTGTGTCGGCTAGTGTTGAAGTCTACGGTGAGTAATTGATTTGTTCCTAGATTTGTATTATTATCTGTTTATTTTATTTATTTAGGTGTTGCTAATTTAACGGCAGCTATGTTTTGTGTTTTAACATTAATTTTTAGTGGATTTCTTGTAGAAATTACATCAGTCACTTCATTTTTATCATGGATAAAATGGATAAGTATTTTTCGATATGCATCAAATATATTTGCTATTAATGAATTTACTGGTTTGAAACTTTGTTTACCCAATGATACAAATACATGTGACATCGATGGTTTAGATATATTAAAAGAACAAAATATTGATTCTTCAACTAGTTGGGATTTGTGGAAGAATTTTGTTGCACTAGGTGGTATTCTGTTTTGTTTTCTTACTTTAACTTATATTCAATTGCTTCGTATGAAAAAAACTAAATGAATTGATAATAACATGATCGTATCCAAATCACGAAATATAATTTTATTCGATTGATGTGTATTTATATGTTCTTTACTTTTTCACAATAATCATTTTTTGAATAATAATAAGAAAATATAATATACCTGTGTCATGATCAACATGAAGAAGCTTTTCTTTCAGAGTTAAAGCTTCAGGATGATAATCTAATGCTTCATTGTAGTTCTTGTCATTGGAATAAAGAAGAGCTAGATTACTGTAACAACCACTAACATCTTGACTATCTTTTTCACACGCATTTCTTCAAATAAATAATACCTTATGAGTAGGAGAAAGTAAAATGTTCCTAAAAAGTCATCTTGAATCGATACTAAACGAAAAATGTGATGTGACTAAAGGTGTTTAATGAGGATATAATCCGTAACCTAAAATAAAGTCTGTGTAAAGTGAAATATAATTTATTAGAATTAAAACTACATATTGTTTATTTCATCCGTATAACATAATTGTAGAATTTGAACCGGCTTCTGCTATAGCACACTCCAAAGAAAATAAAAAAATAAAAAGAGAAGAATAACAACTAAACTCGCATAAAGAAAAAGAAAAAAAGAAACCGAAAATATATGCAATGAAGAATAAATACGTTTTATTTGCACATTTTAATGTTCGACGCTATTCCATTGATTATTTTGTCTAAAAGTAAAAGAGAATTCTTATTAGTAGATTTCCTACATATATATATAATTCTGTATAAAAATCTTAAAGAACTTTTTTTCTCTCTGTCCTATCTGATCGTTAGAAAAAGAAACAATGCTTCTATCAGAAAAGAAAAGGCAACAAAAATCTTTTAAGAGTTAAGACTAAGATTTTTCAATTGGTTGTATAAGTGTACATCTAATAATTCAAATTTTTCTAAAAAATATCTAAAGTCATCAGAGAGATATCTTTCTGATGACTTAAAATCACTAAAGGTCTACTCTTAATATTAATATAAAACTCACTTTAGTAATATAAGATCGAACTATATGATTAGCATGATCATAGCCTTGAACATATGAAATTGTAGTATTTCGTTCAATCCAAAATGGTGTTTGACGTTCACGTTCAAAAGTTTCTAGTCTTTCATAGACGACTGCACTATAATCCCCATACCTATAATCAGTGCATGTAAGTTCCAATTTCAATAGGTTCGGACATTTTGATGATAATAATTTTTCCCATCTTTTTGCATTAAGTAAATTCGGGCGAATCGATAAAAATAAACCTTGTAAATTTGGTGTATGCTTCAGTATATACTTGATATGGTCAAAAGTTGTACCCATTTCTAAATTCAAATGTAGACGAATACACTTAGGCATGAATGGTGTTCGAAAGATCATTTTCCTCGATCGTATATCATTCATATCATTAAAATAAACTCCTTCATCTATGTGAAATGATTTCACATTTCGTAGAGCAGGTAGTAATTTAATTAAATCTTCAAAATATAATGCGTCAATCGATAGATATTCGATAATAGTCATTTTAGGTATTGCAATTAAAGAAGGAAGTGAAGTAACGCGTGCAAATTCACCCGTTGCGATGATCAATGATTTTAATAATGGGCAAAAATTTTGATTGAATATTGAATGAATAATCAATACCTTCTCTTCATTACTATTATCCCAACCGCCTGTTGATCGACAAAGCATAATGTTCAATGATTGTAGATATTTCAAAGATGAAAGTTGATTCCAAGGTTTAAGTGATGAATCACCAGAAGAATATATAAGATTTAATGATAAAACACGAAGTTGTATTAATGAGCTAAGAGGAAAAGTAGAGAAAAAATCAATTACTTTAATGGGTTCTTGTAATTTTAATGATCGAACATTGGCAACATTCAATACCGGTAACATATTTTTCATAAAGTAATAATAACTGTCTTGTTCTTTAAAATTTAAATGTAATAGAGTTTGCTCAATCATTGCATCAATTTTCCTATTTAAATCATGAAATGAGTGCCATAAATCATTTGAGTTGAAATAATTGAATATTTCTAACCATAATTCCATAGGAAACATTTCAATTATACTGGGATTTGTAACTAACATTTTTTAGCTAAAACAAATACGAAAAATCATAATTGAAAAGAAACATATTTTATTTAGATTAATTCTACATATCAAATAAAACTTCAAAACTATCCGATTGATTTATACAAAAAGAAAGAGAGAGATAGAGATCCATTTTACTTTAAGTATAAGAGACAATAGAAAGAGAAAGTATTGGATGAAAAAGTTGCGAACAAACTGATAAGATATAGATGACAGTGGGAAGTAATGAAAGTTAAACAAATGATTATCGATATGTATCTTCTAGTCAATGTATAAAATACATCACTGAAAGAACGAAAAAATTATTAGTAAATGAGTGAATTTATACGACTTTATTCTTCATACTCTTAACTAATCGGCAGTTGTTTTTGTTCGAAACTACTTCAAGACAAACATTATATAATATCTTTGTGTGCATTTATCTATATACAGGGTGGCACAAAATTCAGTATCTTCGTTATGATTCGAGCAAAAGAGCTGATTTTTTTGTCAATATTAGAGGCATGTTCACACTTCAAAGCCATACGAACAAGGTTAGTATGAGAACATTAATTGAGTATCACTATTGACTATCAGAAAGAAAATTTACTTTTCCACAGATGGGATACAAACAATATACTCCATAAAGACTAATTAATATTCATCGTATAGATTTGAATTATGAACATCTCTATATTCTTGGTAAAAAATCAACTCGTCTGCTCGAGCTGTAATGGAGCTATTCAATATTCTTTTCGATAAAATGATTTCTGCACCGTTTTGTATATTGTTTTTGTCCAATCTTTGAAAAGAAAAATTTGTAGTTTTAACAGATATACATTAAATTTAAGTTTATTAAAATAAAATCATAATTTATAGCAATATTAAAATGTTGATAACATTCTTTTTTTAACATCATATTAGCTCTTGAGTTAAGACTATTTAAGTTTTATCGTAAATTGCAAAAATTGTTGTTGAAATTAAATAATATTGAAACTGTAATATAAAAAATATGTGATAAAGAAAATACTTCTGTAATAAGATTATATAGATAATATTACAGTTCAAATTTCTTTGTTTTTTTATATCGAGTGGCTCTATATTGTAACACGCATATAAAAAATGAAAACTTTTTTTTGATGATATCTAGTGAGTCAAGAAAAGAATTGAACTGAATTAATTAATGATTTTGTGTTTGAATAAATTAAGAAATGTTAACTGAAATTGATACTCCAGAACCAGTTCCTCCAGATTTTAGCCAAAAACTGATAATATATGATTGTCCTGCTGTAACTACAAATGATTGACTGAGTTGATCAGTGTGACTGTTACAACCATCTGCATAACCATAGCTACCAGTGCGATGGTATGTTGAACTAATATATCCTGTTGTTCCTGATCCACAGCCAGTCGGAGCGGCTTTGGTCCAACCGGGTGAGAATGAACCTGATTCAAAACCTCCGTTACTCAGCATTTCAGTACCTCCATTATACACCGACACATCATCCAAAAACCAATAAGCAGGATTGTGTTGAAGTGAAAAGGTAAGAGTAACAGTGCCAGTAGTAAGTGGTGTCCATGCATACGCATAACACGTATATGAAGACCCACCGGATGTTGCTGATAAAAGATTACTGGAAGAGCCAACAGAAACTGGTGTACATGGTGGCATTGGAGTAGTTGCTATTTAACAAAGATTCATAGAAGAAATAAAGAATATATACATCAAGATAAAGAAATAGTTTACTTGTCGTGAATGTTACTGAAGTTGCTGCAAGAAAAAGAAAAATATATTTTTGCAAAGAACAATGATTGAATTCAGTTTTGTTTTTTTCAAATGTTTTAGAAAAGAAAAATTGTATGGTATCAAGGGTTAGCGCTTACTTGTTGTCGTTGCGCTTGTTGTCGCTTCGAACAAAGAAAACATACTTCATATATGCAGATAGTAGAAGTACAAAAAGCTTACATGTTGTCGAAGTGCTACTAGTTGACGTTGAAGCTACGAATCAAGAATGAAAAAAGTCATCTTTTACCATGAACAGTTTTCCAAAATTTCAGGATACGATAATAGGGTGGATATATGTATATAGTATATTGAAAATACCTTTATGATACCATTCAATGTATATCAATGCACAAAAAATGATCTCAGATATTGTTATTACAAATGAAGTTAAATAAAGAAGTTATCTCGGAATGTAGTGTTGCTTGAGAACAATCCGACGGATTTGATATTCTCTAGAAGTTTCGAGATCTCTATCGCACCACCTCTAATAAACAGGTGTAAAAGAATGCATACGACTCGCTAACTCAACCTCATTATATATTTCCAGGAAAATCAACAGAAAGATGTTTTCCTTTGCACTATTCGAGCTCGATTGACTTTATTAATCTATTCTAAATCTTTAAGCTTGTAAAACTATCCGTAGCAAAAATTGACTTTTCCCTAATGATACAGAATGTATAACTAACATGTACTGGTGCTTGTGGCTGCAAAAACAAAAATAGAACAAAAAATAAGTTATGATAAATATCAAAGAATAAGTTACTGGTAGTCGTAGTTGTTGCTGATGTTGTAGTGCTGGTTGTAGTAGTTGTCGTCGTGCTTGTACTAGTAGTTGTAGCTGAAAACAAAAAAAACAATTATAATATATATCAAAGAATAACTTGCTGCTAGTCGTCGTTGTTGCTGTAGTGCTAGTGGTAGTAGTGGATGTTGTGCTGGTGGTGGTCGTAGTCGTGCCTCCTTTATTTACGAGGAGAGCAACAAGTAAAGCAGCCAGACCAGCTAAGAGCAATACAAGTAGAAGAATCGAACAGATACAACAGCAATTAGAATAAGCGGGACAACATCGACGAAGACGACGATGTTTTCGCTTCTCTTCCTTCTTATGTTTTGTTACTGACGTTATGTCGTTCAAGGGTTTGCTCAGATCCGATTTTGCTAGATTGGATGATGTTTCGATATCAAGGTTCACATCAGAGGGCTTAGTAGCAGAGAATGCCTGTACAAACACATAAAAAGAAGGCAAGAAATTATGCCGAATATCTGCAAAAAAAAAGCAAATTGAGACTTACTTTAGACCATACTAAACGCCTATCACTTGTAGGTGTTAAAACAATGATTTCTTTAGTAGATGCATCATTTATTATTTCCTAGTTACAAATAAAACAAGAATTAATTTTCATATACAATAACTGAATAAATATGAGAAAATAATTGCCACACAATTATATCTAACCTGTTCTATACGATTAGTAGGTGAGACAGAATGCATTATTCGAGACGGATTATGGTTAATACGTAGGACGTTGACCGATGCCTAGGAAAAAAAGTTTAATTCGAAAGTATTCTCCTGGTATTTACGGTTTTTCGAAGGTCCCTTCGACGATATGATGAACGTTGATGTTGATTAGCCGAATGTACTTTCACTATTCCCATAACTATATTGAGTTGTCGTCTTTTCAATGATTTAAAAAAAATGAATGAATCGTATGTTATGATTTTAGATGCTGTGTCCTTCTTTATTTGAAATCTGAGTGTATTTTATAGCTTCTGAATTAATATTGAAATGACGTACACATTCGATTATATTTTTTATTTTTCATTATAATGAAATCATATGCGTGCTCGAACGAAAATCAAATGAAATATATATTTATGTTTTTCTTTTGCTTCAATTCAATTAGTTTATTTCTCATAAGTGAAATAAGACAGTAGAGTACGTTGTATAGAATAAAGAGCAATGAAAATATCATTATTTTATATGACGACAGATAGATCGAAAAATCAATTAACCTATATTATATTCAATAAAAATCATTAATATAGTTGTTTCAATTCTTGCTTTTCATACAACTCGATCTTTATTAAATATAAATTGAAAGAATGAATTTTGCACTGAAAAATAATGAAAAGAATAAGCACTCGTCAGATTTCTTCATAGAAAAAGCACAAAAAATAGAGAGAAAATAGTAGATACCATGCGATTGAACAGATGACATAAATTGAAATTTCACGTGAAAACAATTTCTTCGATATATGACAAGTGAACAATTGTCTATCGAGAAAAGACTAAGATCCATCAGTCATACATTTTGTCCTATTGCTATCAATGAAAAAGAGATACGAAAATTTTTTTTTTTATTATCAAATTGGATAATTATAAGAGGTGTAGTAAAAAAACTAGAAAATGATAAAAAGAAAAAGATCGCTATTTATAGTTACTACTATTTGTCGGATTCATTTGTATCATTGGAATCAACTTTAGTATCAGTCCATAACTGCAAACATTCATGTAAAGATAAGTTTTTGTATAAAGAATATTGAAACACAACTATACTCACACTGAGATTGTCTAGAAGTTGTTGTATGATAGGAGTACATTCTGAAAATGAACGAAGAAAATAATTCCATTGAATATAATTTATAACAATGTATAATTTTTATTTCTACCTTTGTAAGCATTTTCATCGAGAATAGCCAATCCATTCAGACCATCATCGAAAGCCTATATGTCATGAATATTCAAGCAAATAAAGAGATATCACTACATCACAGAGTACAAACCTCTTTGGCTAAGCGACAGGCAACATCTTTTTCATTGAGAATTTCATAATAAAAGATAGATAAATTTAAAGCAAGACGAAGTCGGATTGGATTTGTTGCTATCATATGATTCTTAGCCATTTCGAAGCCATTCTTGTAGGCAAGTTCTGATTCTTCAGCTAACACTATCATCCACATTGTCAATACAAATATGTATTTCTGAATATACAAATCAAGTTGTTACTTTGTCGTTCATTGTTGCTCGTGACTTCAGTCAAATATCGGTAGTAGTCACCTTTCATCTTCAGATAAAATAATTGTGATTCAGTTGTTTTCGCTTTCGGCTTGATATATTTATCGAGTATGGTCTAAATTAGTAAATATCGTTTCTATAATAATCTGTAATTGTATAGAAATCTTTACTAAAAGTTCGTGACAAACATCTTTCAATTCCTTTTCAATCTTTTTCTGATATTCCTTGATTATTTTTTGTTGAAGTTCGGAACCTTCTTCGTTTGCTTCTGCAATACTCGATAAAGTTTGCCAAGATAATCGATAGGCGTTGACTACTTGTTTGTAAGCTAGCGAGAATAAATTGAGTTCTTCATCCGTTAAGTTACTATTCGTTTCAACGACTTTTTTCATAGCAACCATCATATCATGATATCTAAATAAAAATTGATACTACTGGATCGAATATACTATATGCAAATTAATGCTGTACCGTTCAGCTTGTTCAGCTAACTTTGCAAGTTCCAATTGTTCATCCTTATTCGTCATTGTTCGATACTGTTTGTCGTGATTGGTTGCTGAAGAAGATCAATACCTAGAATATACAATTTATATAGAATAAAGATTGTCTCTTTTTATAGGCATATGATATAGTATTTGTAGTCGACTATAATTCGACTTGATCAGTATTCAGATCACAGTCATGCTGATGATAATTGAAAGACGTATCGATATATTTATAGTGTTTTATACATATTTTTTCTTTCGCTCTCTGAGTTCTGTATTATTTGCAGCACGAATTTATAATGAATATTTGGACATGACATTGTACAACAGCGATGGGTAACGAAAATAACATGAGGTATTGTAGAAAATGAAACAATCATTTGCTTAGTCATCCACGTGCACAGAACGAGCATCGGACGGAGCACAAAACATGTCGTGCGAAGCAGCGCCATTACTTAGCGATCAGCTATGGCAAAATTTATTTCAATATCTACTAGAAGAAAATATTAGTATAAGATTCGTTTGCGATATTTGTTCTATCGTAACATAAATATTGACTATCTGATCAAATCATTCTAGTAAAAATAATTGACAGGTAAAGGCGAAATAATCATGCTCTCAATAAATCGAAACAGTTTTCTTGAGGGTGTGGGTGTGGGTGGGTGTGATGTAGGTGACTGGATGTCTTCTTCATCAACAATCATACCCATCTTACTTCGATAAATATTATAGTAGAAACTCGATAATTTGTGGAGAAAATGAAAATGATCTAATTCTCAAATCAATTTATAAAAAAAATTGCACATAATAAAAATAGAAAGTTTTTGTCTATTTCATCATATATCAGCAGTACAAAGATAATGATGATACAGCTTGTAAAGAACACCTCTTATCATCATTTTACATCTACCTTGAATATAAACGATAGGTTGTCGAGAAACAATATTCTTTTCTTTGGATTTCAAACATACACGCACACCTTTTATTCTTTATATACAATCGTCTGAAGTAAGAAGCTTGCTACCATTACTTTATTTACGATGATATAACTAACATTTATAGGTCATATACATGATAAAATTTTGTGCAGTACTTCTGTTCATTGTGACGCAAAGTCTTGCTGCGCCGTACAAGTCATCAAATACTTGTGGTTATGATGTAAGGAGCATGTATCAATGTAGAGGATTCTTCTACAGACGTATACTCATATTTTAGTCATGCGATTTGGGTAAACCTGATAAACTCAATGTGCATATTGTACCTCATACACACGACGATGTTGGTTGGCTAAAAACAGTCGATCAGTATTATTATGGATGTGAGTAATATATTGATCTGCATGATGATATTTAATAATTTACTCAATTAATCATTTAGCACGTCGTGAAATCTGTAAACCAGGTGTTCAGTATATTCTCGATTCAGTTATCGCAGCATTAGTAGATAATCCTGATCGTCGATTCATCTATGTCGAAATGGCTTTTTTTTGGCGTTGGTGGAATCAACAAACCGAAGATATGCATAATACTGTTAAGCAACTTGTCAATGAAGGTTCGTATCAATGAAATCTGAATGTTCTACTTTTCATTAGATTGACACATCTAAATCTTCGTATAGGTCGTCTGGAATTTATTTCGGGTGGTTGGTCTATGCATGATGAGGCGGCAACGCATTACAATTCGATTATCGATCAACATACTCTAGGCGCTGAATTCTTGCATGATCAATTCGGCGATTGTGCTCGACCAAAAATTGGTTGGCAAATCGATCCATTTGGTCATTCACGAGAAGTTGCTTCATTATTTGCACAAGTTACAGATATTTTAAGAAATTCATCTTTCACATACGTATTATTTGCTTGTAGATGGGCTTCGATGGGCTATTTTTTGGACGTATTGATTTTCAAGATCGAGTAAAACGAATTGAGACAAGAACTTTAGAAATGATCTGGAAAGGAAGTGCCAACTTAGGTTAGTGTGTGCTCTTATTTGAATTCTCAAAATTTCACATTCATATATTCGTAGATCGTCAGAGTTGGCTCTTCACAGGTGTTCTGCCAACTGGGTACGGTGCACCACCCACGTTTTGTTATGACATGATGTGTTCAGATCCACCAATTATTGTATGTTATTGCTTATTGAATCTCTATTCTCTCAACAAATTAAATTATTCTAGGATGATGAAAATGTGGAAGACTATAATATACCAGAACGTGTTGCAGCATTTCTTGTTGCGGCAAACGTTGAGGTTTGTCTGACATCTCTGCGACGCGGTCTGCTCACAAAACGTTCTTTTTGTCTTTTTTAGGCTGAAATATATACAACTAATCATGTGATCATGACGATGGGTAGTGATTTTCAAAATCAGAATGCCTATATGAATTTTAAAAATTTGGACAAATTAATCCATTATGTTAATCTTCAGGTATGTCATATTCACATATTTATATAATTTCATTCTTAATAATATAATCAGCAAGCGAATGGTAGCAATGTTAATGTTTTTTATTCAACTCCATCATGTTATTTATATGCCTTGAATAAAGCGGAAAAAGAATGGACAACGAAAACCGATGATTTCTTTCCATATGCTAGTGTTCCATTTGCATACTGGACTGGCTATTTTACTTCACGACCAGCATTGAAACGTTATGAACGTTATGCAAATAATATTCTTCAAGTAATCCGTCAGCTCGATGGATTCTCACAAAACAATCAACGCAATATCACTTTTGTTTTAAGTAAGAGAAACATATATTCTTTCGATCTATCGATCGATACTCGTACTACATAGGCGAAGCAATGGGTCTTGCTCAACATCATGATGCAGTTAGTGGAACAGAAAAGCAGCATGTAGCTAATGATTATGCTCAACGATTGTCTGAAGGTATCGACCGATCAATGGTATGTTTTACAACACATAGACTAAGAATTTTGAAATAATTTCTTTTTAGGAAGTGATCAATGATGCCTATGCAAAACTATTGCCTAAAGAAGGTCAAACAACATCGATTCCCCATCAATTTCTCTGTTCGTACTCGAATATTAGTGAATGTCTTCCGATTGAAGGACAGAAGCAAGTATGTAAAATTATATTTATCAGATAAGACATGAGCGACTGTCTCAATTCTCTTCATAGTTCACATTGACATTATGGAATCCAACTATTCATCCAGTAACAATATATCCTCGTGTACCTGTCACTCAACAATATTTAATTCGTGATCCTGTAGGCAATCTTATTTCAGCTGAGGTAGATAAAGAATCGATGACAAAAGAAAAGTAACGATTGATCTCTTTTGCTTGTAGTATCTTCCAATTCCAGATACGACGAAGAATATTCCTGGTCGAACCAGTACTGCTCAGTATCAACATATATTTCAAGCATCATTGCCTGCACTTGGTTATAATACCTATTATTTCGAAGCGAAAAGTAATTTCCCACTTGATTTGCTTACAAAAGGAGTTGATGAGAAGATGATATTTTGCAATGAAATTGAAAAATTTAGTACGATTTCATTAATAAAAAAAGGATTGAAAATTTTAGGAAGTTAATGAGTCACGTTTTCAGTTCAAGAAAACTTGATAGTAATCGTTTAAGTGTAGAATGATTGAGAAATCTACTTTATCTGTCATAGCTAATACAAAAGAATTCGAACATAAGAAAGTGACGACAACACAGAATCAAGCATGTATTCTACAGAATCAAGTATGACATAGATTTCGCTGTTCAATACCGACAAACTATTTGCCATTTTTTTAGCATCTGCGAGTGGTATTCGATGATCAAGGTGATTTACAAACTATTGTCAATTTAGAAAAGAATTTGACCGTATCATTCACTCATCAAGGCTTGTATTGGTACACAAGTAAATATAAAAAGGTCATGATCATCAAGAACTTCTTACATTTCTGGTTACAGGTTTTCCCGGCTATAAGGAGCTGCCAGGAATACACGCGTCAGGTGCTTATGTCTTCCAGCCATTTTTTTCAACAGCAGTACCTATAAGTGCTCGACGTAGTATGTGAGTAATTTCGCTTAATAAATATTCTTTTCATAACTATTATATTGATTAGAAATTGTACGAAAACAGATACTGTACAAAAAGCATCAATAGTTTTCAACGAATGGGCTAGTCAAGAAATCAGTCTCTTCAATGGATCATTACAAATTGAACTGGAATGGACAGTTGGACCTATTCCAGTAGATGATGATATTGGCAAAGAGATAATCATTCTCTATGATACCAATATTGAGAGTGGATCAACATATTATACTGATGCTAATGGACGTGAAGTACTTCAACGTATTCGTGATTACCGACCAACATGGCATTATGTTGTTGATGAACCAGTTAGTGGTAATTATTATCCGATTAATAGTCGCATTTGGATTCGAGATCACGATCGTCAATTGACTATTCTTACTGGTATGATGAATTTTTTCTAATCATGAACTATTTCCAATGTTTTTATAGATCGATCGGAAGGTGGTGGAAGTATGCGTGATGGTTCGATCGAAATTATGCTTCATCGTCGAATACTGCATGACGATGGATTCGGTGTTGGTGAACCTTTAAATGAGACTGCCTATGGCAAAGGTCTTGTTGTTACCGGCAAACATATTCTTCTTGTTGACCGACCTGAAGACAGTGCTCTGCTACATCGAGTCGGTGCTCAACAATTTTTTATGCAACCTCTGGCAACCTATTCCTTGCCAAATACATCATCTTATACGAACTATTCGAATACTTATCGTCAAAGTTGGTCTGCTTTGTCAGATGCAATGCCACTGAATGTACATCTATTGACATTCGAACAGTTAAGTCCCAAACAATACCTTGTGCGTGTTGAGCATTATTTTGAATTGAACGAAGATAAAACTTATTCACAACCGGCAACGATTGATCTTCAAATGTTATTTAAAAGTATTGGTACCATTGGTGAGATGAATGAATTAATCCTAACTGCCAATTTACCAGTGTCCGAACTACATCGACTCGATTGGATGACAAAGGATCAGGAATCATCACATGCCAATAC